TCTCTCTTGTGCTACATGGCATAAGGCCAAGCTATAAAACGATGTTTTAATGTTGCAAGCTAGATCAAAGAAACACTTTAGTGATATTTGGTCCTGCTTGAATATTACAATATAGCTTTGAAGACTCAAATTGTTCTACAATCTGGTAATTGCTTATATTTCCCATTAAGATGGAGCAAAATGACAATAATTTCAATAGTTTATGCTAAACCTATAGATATGAATATGTTTTTACTACCAAAGAGTCATCACCCAAGGCTTGTAATTAACTACATACCTACAATCAGCATGTAAGAGCTTAAAATACTCTCACATAGAGAAAAAAAAAGCTATTTTTGAGAAAAATGCATTTAGAAATTAAACAGAAAACAATGTGTAGAGGTAATTTTTGGCTAAGAATTTTTTTTAATTTTTGACAGGATAAAATAAGGTTACTTCCTTCAGCAGGGACAGTGTAAAACACTACCTGTTACACTAAGAAAGTAATTTCTTTCTCTTCTTTAGTGTGTTTTAAATGACCATTGGTGTGCAAGGCAGTGCACCTAGAGCAGGGGGAAACACAAAACGAATGGGTAACAGAGGCAGCCCTCGAGGAGGTCACAGCACACCATCCATTCTCCCATTTCCAAATTCTGCTATTTTACCAAGACAAAGGCTGTATATTTTTGAATAAGTCATTTTATTTTCTTTGGTAGTTAATCTAATTGATGATATAAAAAACTAATTCAAATACTGAATTTACTGTATATTTATTATGATAACTATAAAAGCAGAAAATTAGCTTTGAAAATCAAATAACTTATTCAGCAATACACGTTCATTTTATAGACCTACATAAAGACACTGGGTTCTCAATAATGCTCTAATCCAGGGGTTCTCGAAGCATGGCCTCAGACAAACCCCATTTGCATCACGTAGGAAATTGCTAAAATGCACATTTTCAGGCCCTACCTCCTGGTCTACTGAATCAGAAACTCTGTGAGGCCAAGCAACCTGTGATTTAATAAGCCCTCTAGCAATATTAAGGAACACTAAAATTTGAGAATCACTATTCTAATCTAGTCTGTTAAAGTGGTGTTTCATAAAAATTAGACTTTAATACTACGAAGCCTTCTTTACTTTTCACAGGAAATGTTTGCAAGGAGACTTAGAAGCAGGTAAGATTTATCTTTCTGTGGCTTTAGGGCAGCCTGAAAGGGGTATACCATCTCCTTCCTCCTTCCTCCCAACCAATCATTTTGCTGAGATTTTTGGTTTTGATGTGTTTTCACTTTGACATCTCTTAAGACAAAGTTAGAGTACATTTCCCTGCACTGAATTAGCAGTTCCTAGTTAGAATACAATTTCCATGAAATCTTCACCCTATTACCTTTAAGCAGCTTAACAGTGTCATTAATTACTACAAAGTCCACACTGAAGATTTTTAAAGAAATTGTAATCACATGCTTATTAGCTGTTTCAAGTGAGAAATACTAATGTGTCCTATATAAATGCTTGGTTTTTTTTTATATTTGTCATAATAGAATAACTTATGGCTTTAAATTAGACATTGAAAAATAGAACTCTGGAAATTAAAATTATTTTCCCAAAAGTCTTTTATAATCAGCACCCTCTACATAGAAGCATTTAGATAAAGGATAAAAACCCATCAAAAGATACAAATAATTTTTAGCTTATATAAAGCAGAAGTTATTAAATCTCTGCATCACCATGAGTTGCTATTCAATACCTTTGGCCTCAGTGACTAATTACAACGATTATTTCAATATAAAAAGTACAAGTTTTACTCTTTTTTCTTCTTTTTAATGATTTCTATAGGCATTTAATTTACAAGCAGATGCTTCCTTTTGTGTCTGAAGCAGGGATTCTAATAAAAATATACTGTCTCAAGGCTTCTCAGAGTTTGGAAGAAGTCTGAGCCTCTTCCATTTTTTGAGATTCTCAGTATTTATATAAACAGTAATAACAGGAATGCCAAAGGTGGTTACAAAAACTGTAGAATATCCCAAAAGGCTAAACTAAACCTAATTCATTTATTCTGTTAAAAAAAATATTGCACTAGTTCATTTGGAGATGGCTCTATTTGAAGTGCTTCACAAATGTCTGGCCCTGAACTAGATGGCCTTCTCCACCTCTACTTTGGTACTGCCACAGTGTTAGACTAAACAGACTTATCTCTCTGGAGGAAAGTTTGCTGGCCTTAATGTCCCTGGGTTAGGAACAGAAGATCAGAAAGGAGAGCTACAGGGACAATGGTTGGCCATGCTGTCTGTCCTTTCTTATCTCTCTGCTGAGCACACAGCCCAGGAGTGGAAGGAAACGTAGGCAACATATCAATCTGCTACTACACTGGCTTAGATGACATATGTGTGCCAGTGAGGACTTCTCTAATAGAGCTATAAGATTTGACCATCTTGGTGGGGCACAGTGGCTCAAGCCTGTAATCCCAGCACTTTGGGAGGCCAAGGCGGGCAGATCATGAGGTCAGGAGCTCGAGACCAGCATGACCAACATGATGAAACCCTGTCTCTACTAAAAATACAAAAATGAGCCCGGCGTGGTGGTGGGCGCTTGTAATCCCAGCTACTCAGGAGGCTGAGGCAGAAGAATCACTTGAAACTGGAAGGCACAGGTTGCAGTGAGCTGAGATCATGCCACTGCACTCCAGCCTGGGCCAAACAGCAAAACTTCATCTCAAAAAAAAGAAAATAGATGAAAAGAGCATGACCCTAAGCTGTTTGTAATTCCTGATGGATGGCTGGAAGGAGCAGTAGCTGGTGAAGGTAGCAACTCTCCCAAATAAAAGTGATGAGAAATTTGATTACGTCTCTTATCCAACCTAGCTGAAGAAAACCCCAAAATACAGTCATAAGAATAGTAAATATCTTATTTTGTAGAAGTTTTTCTGGTTTTTTCTTTCCATGCAGAAGAGGTAGAAAAAGAAAAGAAAAAGTGAGTATCATTTCTGAACCTGCCTACATTCCCTGAAACATTTTATGGATTCATGTATCTTGTCCATTCTCTGAAATCTTGTAGAAGAGCCTGACCACCTATTGCTTTATCAGTGTAAGCAACTGAAGGGCAGAGAGTGATAATGCTTTTCTTTTTTTCAATATTATGTATTCCCAGAGCCATTTATTAGGTGTTCAATAATGTTTTGATTACTAAAATGATGAATGCATGGCTGCTCGGAAGACAAGGCAGGCTCTCTCTCAGGTAAGGAATACATAGAAATAAATGTAGGTTCTTAAAATTCCTGAAAGGCACAAGACTTCCAGGTGACTCCAACTAAAAACTGAAATAAATAAAACCAATCTAATACATGTTATTTGGTCAAAGAATTCTAGTATCCTGACATTTTTGTGGGCTTCCAGAAGGAGCAATTGGTTCCATTACTTCTGTAACCACTCTATAACATAGAACAAAAAGGATATATAATTTTCTGGCTTTTAAAAACCATTCCAACTAACCCTTTCAGGAATTGGGTTCTAACTGAAGATCTTGTACTATGAATCAAAATGCTCTTATAAAGTTAATAAACAACAAGAATATTTAATTTCTGTATCATCATTTGGATCTCTTTCAGTTTCAATGGGTAGAAAATGCAGTCTAAGCTGACTTAAGGTAAAAGTGAATGTATTTGTTTATGAATGAAAAATACCCAGAGATAGAACTTGTTTCAGCCAAAACTCGATTCAGAGCTCGAAAATCTCCATCTGGGTTTCACTTTTCTCCAACTCCCAGTTCTGCCTTCTTGAGTATCAGCTTTATTTTCAGACTTCACATAGAAACACGAAAAGCTCTAAGCTCACATCACCTTCATAAAGCAAAGTCCAGTAGAAGACAGTCCATTTCCTTAAGGGAAGGAGAAAAAAAAAATCCCAAAATGGTGGTTTTTGTCTGATTGGCCAGACTTGGTTTACATACCCACCCATGCTACCAGGATATACATCTACCACTGGCCAGACCTCAGCTATGGGTCTACCAGCAAGTCAGGGCAGTGGCTGATATCACCTGAAGCAAATGGGCTGAGGGGTGGGATCAAGTGGTTGGATCTTCTAAAATAAACAGGGGTACTGTTTCAACAAGAGTGAGTGTTGGGAAGCAAAACCACAAATGGCCAATACAAAGTACCATTAGTAGACCTCACTTACCAAAACTCACATGTTAGTGGAACCAAATGAAAATTTTAAAAAATAATTATCATTCAATTCAGACTTCTAACCAAACTACAGTTCTGGTGAGGGCAACCTCACACCTTGAATCCAAAATGTCTCTTCAGTCGCTGGCCTTCCACTTGTCTTCAGGAGCTGGAGCACATGGCCTTTGAAAAAACTGGCGAACAGAGGAAACTTGCAGCCTCGCAGCCACCCTGTGTCCAGTGCCGACCACAGGAGCGCGACAGGCTGGGACGGGACCGCGGGTGCGCCCCACCATGCCAGTGTCGCCTCAGGGACTCGCACCCCTTTCCCTCACCGCACAGGAGGTTTTATCCTTGTCGGCTGCCGCCAACCAGCCGGGAGGGGCGGTTGGACCGGGCAACCCGGGAGCGAAACCCCTGGGGTCTCCTTATCCAGGCCCGGGCAGCCAGATCGACAAGGCCGGCCGGGGCGTCAGCCCGGCGGATGGAGGCGGCTTTCGTCCCCAGCTCCCACTCCCTCCCCTTCCCCGGGGCGGGAGCGCGCGGGCCTGGAGCTGGGAGGCTGCGGCGGCGGCGCGGCCGGGCGGGTCCCGGGGAGTCCCCGGCGCGCCCGCTGCGCTCGCCCCGCAGCCGCCGCCCGAGCGGTCGGAGTCGCCACCGGCTGTGTCCGCGCGGATCCCGGGCGCGGAGGGGAGGGGTCGCCCCCGCCGGACCGGGCACAGCGCAGTCCCCGAGCGCCGCCCAGACGCGGGCCGCCCTGGGAGCGGCTGAGGCCGAGGACCCGGGGGAAGGAGGAGCCCGCGCTGGCTGCAGCCCCAGGTAATCTCAGTGGAGGACGCGCTCCTCTCCTCGCCCAGAAACCCGAGCCGGGCGCCTTGGAAGGCGGACTCCAGAGGCGGCACCTCCACAAGACAAGTTTATCGTCGCTTGAAATGAGGGAGTCCTGAAACCGACGCTCGTTTTTATTTAACCAGCTTTTTTTCTCCTGTTTTAAATAAGTTTATTTAGACAATGGAAAGAAAAAAACCAAACAGCCTCTTGGGTAGCTGTGGGTTTGTAAATGTAATCCTGAAAGTTTTTCATGGTGTGGTTATTTGCTTGCGCATATTTATTAACCTGTTAATTCTTCGGCTAGTCAGAAAATTGACATGTAAAATATTCTTTGAGGGACGTTACAAGTTTGCTGTTGCATACGGGCATCCTGTTATTTATCAGCTTAGTTAGCATCTGTCTTCCCCCAGAGTAGTACCAAAGTCAGTCCCTTGGCGACGGGTCTTGCATGTGACACTCTTGCCCTCTAGTGCCTCACCAGCTTGGTAGCAGTTTGACGGCTAATATTAATAAGATGTTACATAATATGAGAGTACTGGGCCAGGACTGGTGTTGCTGCCACTTGTAAAGTCAAAAAGCCTGAGCCGATGGTAGCGAGTGATGCTGTTTCCGTTTCTTTTCCATCTATTGCAACTTTCTCAAGCATTTTCAGCTCTGACCTTTGGTTCCAGGTAAGTGTATTTATTTATTTATACTATGCATTAATGCCTCACTCATAAATGTAGGGGCTTTTAAGAGATAACTTTGTTTCCAAATCTAAAAATTTCAAAATTGAACAAGTGCCTCATTTTATTCTTGAAAAAGAAATATAGAGCATTTTGATTACATTAAGTGAAACAAAGGACCGTCTCATTCAAGGATAATTTTAAAGCTTCCCTTTCATAAGATTACAGTATTAAAGAAATAACCTCTTGTAGTTGTTTAAGATATTCACCAACTTATAATGATTCTGCAGATTTGTTTAACAGATCACATGTCTGTTGCCTTGACAAAATTTTGTAAGGAACATCAGAGACTTAAACTAAACTACCTGCCTATCTACACAGTAATGATCCTCTAAAGGCTTTCTATTGGATGCAGTTTATTTTATAGACATTATTTAAAAGTATAAAATTAATAAATGCAACTGGAAAGAATCAATCTAGGTATCAAATAGAGAAACTTTAAATTTAAAGAAAATAGATATATCTTCTATTTAATATATTCATTTTGTGGGAGCAGGTAAAAACAAAGTTACATCTTTAAGGGGTTTTCTTGGATCCTTTTTCAAATAGTTTTTCTAATAGCTAGATACTGTTTAAGCATCAAAGTTATTTAATGTCGAAAATGTATTAATATCTATATTCTTTATAAACATTGAAATGCAGCAATATATGTAATCTGGAGGAATTTAGAAGAAAACACATCTAGATAATGTAAACTGCTACATTCTTAATACATTTGTATTAAATTAAAATACAAATCAAATGTTGAGATGTGTGCAACTGATCTGGGACACGCTCTTTTTTTTTATTTTTTTGCCTTTAGAAATATCATCTTATCAACTACTGAGCAATGCTGTTCACCACAAGAGAGCAGAATGACATGGCACAGAAACTGTAGAATATCTGATATTTAGCTGTAGGGAATTTTTTTTCTTTTTCTTCATCCATAGCTTCCTATCAATATTATATCTGAGATGGAGATTTCAGATAGAAGTTTGAAATAGGCTCCTTTTGAAAATAGTACTGAACACATAAAGAGGCTTGCCTAAGATAAGCTCTTTGTTTTTTTCTTTCTCTGGTTAACACAGTATTTACCATTTCAAATTTTGTTAGTGTTTTTCTTTAGCATCTTGATGGTAAAACAGAATATTTGTTTCTTTGTGTAACTAATGTTAACTTTAAGCTCATCACGAGTTAATTTTCTTCATAGTCTTTAAAATGAAAGATTCTCACATTACTAAAATGTTTTAGATAAAATAAAACTTTTATCTCTTCTGGAGATATTCATTATAGTTTAATTTGGTGGAGTTATATATACCTTCTCGTAAATTTTCTTGAGAAAAGCATTATTTCTGAACATTGCAGCAACTATTAATTTTTGGTGTAACTGAAAAGTTTGTTAAAAGTATATATAGTAGAAGAGATAATCAGGCATTGGAGGTTCTTTTTGTAAACAATATATTCTGCTAAAGAAGTTATTATAAGCTAAAATATAAATATTTAATTGTTTACCTGTCATTTCAAAATTTTAAAAATGTAAAAAAATTACAATTTTTTCTTTTAATCTTGGGACTCTGATCATATGACTTCCTTGAAACCTAGTTGAGTTTCAGCTGCTTTTTGGTGATTAGGGCCAATTTTGTAACCTAAATGTGCATTTGTCAGGATACAAAATATATTTTTTAAACTACATATAAATACTTTGTGATTTATATGTACTATAAAATCAGGGAAATTGAATAAAGGATAAAAACACTATTCTCAATTAAATGAATGCCTTGAATTTCTAATTTCTTAACAGTACAGACAATAAGAGAAGACAGTGGAAGTTCACTTTCCCTGTGCTATGTCTGTTGTAAATGAGCATTCACACAGAAATGCATGAACTCTGGACACCTGTCCAGATTAGGGAATGCTGCCAGACCGCAAAACTAATGACTTGCATCATAAAGATAATCAGTCTGAACAATGGTCAAAACTATTGTATGACTGAGGTTTCTCTTAGATTAGTGAAGAGGTAGTTTTAGTATTTGTTGGTTTGTCTGTTTGTTTATGGTAAAAAACTACACTCTTAGATACCTGGATATGACAATAGTGATTTATTCTTTCTTGTTACTCTAAATATTTTCATCAATTTCATGTGAGTTATAGGATGAGAAAAAAAGTAGTACCTACTACAATTAATTAATGTCTATAATAAAACATTTCCCAAAATCTTCTACAAATTACTGAGGACTATATATGATTATCTGCTGCCAAATAAGAGCTTAAAAATCAATTATTGCAGTCCTATCCTAAAACTGTTAAGCATCTCAGTGATGAGTATCCATTTTACATATATTTTATTGCTGAATGTTTGTGTTTGATTAAAATATTTGAAAATAACATGAAAGTAGATCTAAATTCTAGGCCTGGCTCTGCCAAGAGAGGAGTGGCCTTGAATAGCTCCCTTGCTGGCCCTGGGGTTTGGTTTCCTCACCTGAAAAATGAGGATTCCAGAGACCCTTTTTCATCTTGTTTGTTCAGCATTTTAGAAATTGCTCTGTAGGACAGGACGAAGACATATGACAAAACATCAGTGAATAATATGAAGTTTAACTTGGTGATAAGTACTATTGTCTAGATTTTTGCTAGTAGAGATGTTACAGTTTATACTCAGAATGGTTACCTTGTACCAGGCACTGTTTTAGTTTACATATTAATTTCTAGCTCATATAATCTTCACAAAGATTATTTAAGGTAAATATTATTCCTGTTTCACAAATGAGGAAATTGAGGCACTGAGAGGGTACCTGCTTGCCTAAGAGCACATCCCTGGCAAGCGGTGAAGCTGGAATTCAGTTTGAGTCTGGCTCCAACACACATTCCTTTAACCATTATATTACATTGCCTCTCTACAGGTTTCAAATATTTGTTCTTAATATGCCTCTTGATGTAACAGAGGCAATCCATACGCCACTCCAACAATTTCCACCACTTCCCTTACATAAGAAATACTCATTCATTCACCCAGGACGTATTTACCAAGCATCTACTTTTGTGCCAGGCATAAATCACACCACAGGATAATTAAATGAGTTGCCTTCCCTAATTAAGTATATTCAGTTTAGTTTAGGTGATTTCTTTCTCCTCTTTTGCTACCCTAGTTAGGTTGAGTCTTTCACTTGTTCTAAAAGGTGCCCAAGGTAACAGAGGAATAATTTACCTGACTCCTTTATTGATGTGTCCATAGAATAGAACCTTCAACCTCCTCAAGACTCCCTATATCATATTTTTTCATTATTCCTTTCTACTCTTTTTGCATCATCTTCTCTCTGCAGATTGGGTGTCTTTCCTTCTCTGGTTCATGTAACGTAATAGAGCCAACATTGATTCGTAACTTTACATCTTATGGCCCAGGCAACTAACAAGAGGTCAGGTTAACACTCTCCTGTTCCAATTATTCTAATGAAGAACAAAGAAAAGGCTTGGATTAGATCCTGAAAGCTGCATTGTCAGCATTCACATGTGTCATATGTGAGCATACGTGAGAGAATATGTCAGCATATTTTGATGCATGCATTCTGGTCCAATCTTAGAGGGCATAGGCAGACATTTTCCCCCTTAAGTCATAAAGGCAGAATAAACAGCAAACAGCAGTGGAGTGGTTTTCTTCTTTTGCGTTACTGGATGGTATAACACTGAGGGAGGTAAATAAAACATATTCTTCCCTTCATAATTTTTAATACAAAGAGGGAGGGAGAATTACAATGGAAAGTCATTTTCCATTTAATGTACCAAACAAAGCTAATGCTCTCAAGTGCAGCTTTTCTCTCATCCATCTTTTAAAAATTGCAGTTCTAGAGACAGAGCGTATTCTTGGTCATACTCCATGTAAATCAGCTTCTTACTTGCCTACCACAGCAGGGTTTAATTAACATGACACAATTTCACACATTCTTTCCCCAGGAAAAGCTTGCTCTTGTCAATTTTTAATATTATTACTAAATTACTTGTAGCAAATCCACGTAATGTATTTGAGGCCTCCCGCTGCATTTTTCAACATTACAAACTATAATTTTATAGTTCATTCCTTTTTCAGGAAAAGGAACATTGTCAGCATCTTTTAAATATCTTTCATTTATGTTAGAACCTGAAGCTCTTTAGTTATTAATACTCATTTTCCAGATGGTAATCTTTTTTCACTTTTCTTGTACTGCCAACTTTAACATGATTCTATTTCATTTAGAAATTGATTTTTACTTTGGGATGATGGTGGGTGTTAGTGGAAGAGAAAAGATAGGTTACGTTGACAAGTAGGCACTTCCTTTTGCAAATATTGCTTGCAAAATACATGTTTGTATATATTGGGTTCTTTCAGTATGTATATGGAATTGTCTGTGATTCCAAAAACTAATTACTTCCGCTGCCTTTTGTTAATGGTAAATAATTAATGGCTAATGTTTGCTTGTTGGAGTCTTTTTAAAAACAGATGCACTGCAAAGCAATTCTATTCATGCTGAATTCTGAAAAATCTCAGAATGGGAAAAAATAAGTAGTTGAGTAAATTTCAGTGAAAAGCACATTCTGGATACGTCTGATTTATGGCTCTGATCAAGTGGTCACTGCTATTCGCAATGTTTATATTATTGCCTTGACTGTTTGAGGCCAGTGTGACTCATGAAGATAGCCGTTCATGGAAGATGGTTTGATTTAAATATTGCCCTAGTTTGTGAGTGCCAGCTGCTGTTTGTAAAATTTAGTAGAAGCCTTTTTTTACTCATTTAACAATTATTCAATGGGCTGTTCTCACTTCAAGCACTCTATTAGACATTAAAAATACAGAAGTGAACAGGACAAGTACTTACAGATGCTTCCAAGCTATATAGAAAAATTACATAACTAATTATAACAGAAAATCACATAAGTAATTATAACTTGGAACATACTACAGAGGTAAAGTAGAGAGTGATGTGAGAATGTGTAAC